GTAAAAATATGAAGGTCTAAATATGGGATCTTCGATGTTAGCCAGACCCCAGGGCAATGTACTCTTATTCAGAAATACATATAATAGAATTATACTTTTTTTTTCCAATTTTCTTCGGGCTAGCTAAATGGGTTCCCGGTCTTGTAACATAAATTCCTTTTAACAGTGGAAGGGTCCCTCCCATACCCCTCCCCTGTAAAAATATGAAGGTCTAAATATGGGATCTTCGATGTTAGCCAGACCCCAGGGCAATGTACTCTTAATCACAAATACATATAATAGAATTATAAGTTTTTTCCAATTTTCTCCGGGCTAGCTAAATGGGTTCCCGGTCTTGTAACACAAATTCCTTTTAACAGTGGAAGGGTCCCTCCCATACCCCTCCCCTGTAAAAATATGAAGGTCTAAATATGGGATCTTCGATGTTAGCCAGACCCCAGGGCAATGTACCCTTATTAGGAAATACATATAATAGAATTATAAGGTTTTTTTAAAATTTTCTTCGGGCTAGCTAAATGGGTTCCCGGTCTTGTAACATAAATTCCTTTTAACAGTGGAAGGGTCCCTCCCATACCCCTCCCCTGTAAAAATATGAAGGTCTAAATATGGGATCTTCGATGTTAGCCAGCCCCCCGGGCAATGTACCCTTATTCAGAAATACATATAATAGAATTATAAGGTTTTTTTTCCAATTTTCTTCGGGCTAGCTAAATGGGTTCCCGGTCTTGTAACATAAATTCCTTTTAACAGTGGAAGGGTCCCTCCCATACCCCTCCCCTGTAAAAATATGAAGGTCTAAATATGGGATCTTCGATGTTAGCCAGACCCCAGGGCAATGTACTCTTATTCAGAAATACATATAATAGAATTATAAGGTTTTTTTTCCCCAATTTTCTCCGGGCTAGCTAAATGGGTTCCCGGTCTTGTAACATAAATTCCTTTTAACAGTGGAAGGGTCCCTCCCATACCCCTCCCCTGTAAAAATATGAAGGTCTAAATATGGGATCTTCGATGTTAGCCAGACCCCAGGGCAATGTACTCTTATTCAGAAATACATATAATAGAATTATACGTTTTTTTTTCCAATTTTCTCCGGGCTAGCTAAATGGGTTCCCGGTCTTGTAACATAAATTCCTTTTAACAGTGGAAGGGTCCCTCCCATACCCCTCCCCTGTAAAAATATGAAGGTCTAAATATGGGATCTTCGATGTTAGCCAGACCCCAGGGCAATGTACTCTTATTCAGAAATACATATAATAGAATTATAAGGTTTTTTTTTCCAATTTTCTCCGGGCTAGCTAAATGGGTTCCCGGTCTTGTAACATAAATTCCCTTTGACAGTAGGAGGGTCCCTCCCATACCCCTCCCCTGTAAAAATATGAAGGTCTAAATATGGGATCTTCGATGTTAGCCAGACCCCAGGGCAATGTACTCTTATTCAGAAATACATATAATAGAATTATACGTTTTTTTTCAATTTTCTCCGGGCTAGCTAAATGGGTTCCCGGTCTTGTAACATAAATTCCTTTTGACAGTGGAAGGGTCCCTCCCATACCCCTCCCCTGTAAAAATATGAAGGTCTAAATATGGGATCTTCGATGTTAGCCAGACCCCAGGGCAATGTACTCTTATTCAGAAATACATATAATAGAATTATAAGGTTTTTTTTCCAATTTTCTTCGGGCTAGCTAAATGGGTTCCCGGTCTTGTAACATAAATTCCCTTTGACAGTAGGAGGGTCCTTCCAATACCCCTCCCCTGTAAAAATATGAAGGTCTAAATATGGGATCTTCGATGTTAGCCAGACCCCAGGGCAATGTACTCTTATTCAGAAATACATATAATAGAATTATAAGGCTTTTTTCCAATTTTCTTCGGGCTAGCTAAATGGGTTCCCGGTCTTGTAACATAAATTCCTTTTGACAGTGGAAGGGTCCCTCCCATACCCCTCCCCTGTAAAAATTTGAAGATGTACAAATACTTATTATTGTATTCAACAGTTTTTTTTATCCAATTTTGACCAGGCTAGCTAAATAGTCATCATTTTGGTCAGGCTAGCTGCATTGGTTTGGGGTCCTCAGTCCTCTTCTTTAAGTGAAGTCTTTGCTTTTCTTCTTAAACACGGATTATGATGCGTTTTTAAAGTTTTTTGAAAAAAAAATTATTAGGACATTTACGGTAATTTGAATAGCGAACGGCAGACAGCCTGCGGTTCGCCATTCGAATGGCGAATAGCGAATAGCGAATAACCGTCCAACTTCTGATTAATGTCAAAAGTCTCAATCACGTAAATCGCAATTGTATTTTTTACATGTATAAATATGTGTGTTACATGTGTGAGAGAGAAAAGGGTATGAATTGTGTGATGAAATCCGATCCCCTACTAATTGCCAGATTTGACGTCAGACCCTGTTTTCTGATTCCTGTTTCTTTTTTTTCTCTCATTACCTACCAGAGGTTGTTTTGTAAATCGAATTGGTGTGAACTGGTTTTTTGTGAACTGGCTGTCTAGCATTGGTTATAGTTATATAAGTCAGACTTTCAATGGGGGCCATATTGTAATTTTTCCCGCCACGACCTTTTGCAGACGATCTGTAACGGAAGGAGATACTTGATGCAGAACCGATCCCGAGAACTCTGGTTGTGGGTGTTACTTTCCATACAAAGGTAAGCAAATATCCGAGACCTATTTTGAAAAATTTAATTCATTTTTATACTCTTTGTTGCACATGTAGGGGTTCGGAACACACTCCTCCACCCCAACCCGAAATTATTCAAATTAAGGGCCTCAAAGAAGATTGATTGATTGATTGTATATTGTTTAACGTCCCTCTCGAGAATTTTTCACTCATATGGCTCAAGACGCCACCATTTGCCGGCGGAGAGCTGCAAATTTTGTCCTATACTCAGGCACTCAGGGCCATTGAGCAGTGTGGGATCTTTTACGTGCCAGGGGCCTATTTTACAAAAGAACTTACGTCTAAGACCAAAAACTTTGGTTGCTTGTAAAATTTTGTAAAATTAATGATTGAGTTTAACATCCCTATCATGAAAATATCTGTCTACATTCTTTTTTAAAAAAAGTTTAAAACTATCTTCATTTTAATGCAAACAAGAAAGATATAAGTAGAATAAATTTGGTTTTAGTCATATGTTCTTTTGTAAAACAGTCCCCGCACCTAGTGCGACACGGGACCTCGGTTTATACGGTCTCATCCGAAGGACCAGTCTCCACGTCCCGCAGTGGGATTCGAACCCGCGACGTAAGGATTTACTCCTTACTTCGCGACTCTAGAGCAGACGCTCTAACCACTGCGCCACGCGGGCGAAGAAAGAACCCCTTAAAAATTAGTAATGAGACCCACCTAGCTGAAGAAAATTGACCTCCACATCCTAATCCTAATAGGATTTTCGGACTGGGAATGTTTTTCTAAATTGTCAAAAATTTTGCGAGTCATTTCTTCCTGTTGATTAGAATCCGACACAAAAAAAGAAATCCTGAATCCGCCCATGTGATGTAATCTAATAAGATTGCAAGATATTTACAGAAAGTGTTGATAGTTTTCATGTAATTCACCTTTAAACGAGCATATAATCATAGAAAAGGTTCACTTACCTTTAGAACACTTGACAATACATGTTGGCTTTTTGCATTTCAAACTTATGGATTTTTCTTTAAATGACAATTTAAACACATTTAAACAAATTGATATTTAAAAAACTATTTTTTATTTTTATTTTAGTTCGTACATCTTTAATGACATATACTACAAACATTTTCTATTCTTCAAAAATTATAGAAATAACAACCAAAGTCATGTTTATGTAAGTAAATTTAATAAGTTTAGCCGAACAGAATTTAAATTTCCATGCAGTCAAGGCGTCAGAATAATAACCTATAAAGCGACATTATGTATAGTGTAGATTTTAAAAGGTGCTTACAAAAACGTAGAAATGTGGACACTCCAAAAGATTAGGCCAAATAAAAAATATGTAATAAATGTTTGTTTCCCGTATTATGCTGGAAAAAATAGTGTTACAGTAGATAGTTAGAAAAGTTAAAAACTTTTTTTTGATAAACATTTGCATGAAGTTTTTTTTACACTTGTTTCCGTCGTTTATGCATACATATGAATGAACAAAACAAGTTTACTCTTTAAAACACTTTAAGTAGATAATCATGTTTTTCAGTAGTTGAGACTTACATTCATTAATTACAGCATGAGAAAACAATACTAGTGAAAAGAAGTACAGTACAAAATCCAGAGTTGGTATAAAATGAAGTAGGGTTGATGAGTAAAAATTAGGGTCGGTCGGTTTATTGGAAACAAACATATTGTTTTAATTAGCCTTACAATTTCATCAAGTACATTGAACGTATTTTATTGACAAAGTCAAAAGGATGACACAAATTCCATAACAGTCTTCTCTTATACTGAATTTCGTAAAATTGCCTTAATCACTTATTTGATCTATTGCAAATTCATTAGAACTGTCGAAAAAAAAATTAAAAATCTTAATATGCAAAAATAATTTTCTTTAGAAACTAAGGTCTACCATTTTGTTAGACTTGAAGAAACTAAGATATACCATTTTGTTAGACTTGAAGGTCTTTTAAACGTCTACATCTTGTTGATAAGAGAATGAATCAAAAATCCATCCTTTTGCATCAAATGTTTATAGATCTGTAAAATAAAATTACAGATTATTAAATGATAATAAACTGTTCATCAGCTTTGCATATTTTGTTACAAACAAGAAAAAACCCACAAATGATATGAATCTTATATATAATAATCCACATGAACAATTTGGACTGGTTATTAAGTAACCACGTAATATTGCAATACTTATGGTTAAGCATCTACACACCTAAAACTATACTTGTCAAAATACATTTACCTGAGAGTGGTTATTGATTTTACATGTTGGTTGGGCTATATTACCAGTGCCAATAAGTCTTCACCATTCCTATTCACGTTGCAGGAACGGATTGTTCTATGAATTCAAACAACAATGCAAAATTCACTACCGTTGGACAAAAGTTATTAAAGGAGCCAATATGGATAGGAATGATTGTGGTGTTTATTTTGTTGATTATATTTGGAATATCCTATATCATTAAAAAGAAGTGTGCAAAGTATTTGATCTGCTGCAAGGACACTAAAGACATTCTGCGAGAACGAGAGGGTATGTAAATTTATTTTTAAAATAAACTTTCTGTTATTAAGAAATTTAAAACCATATTGATAAGAAAATTCTTTTATTTCTAGATATTAAATCCTTCGGGTATTATTCTGAAGCAACATAATTTTGCTGTGGATTAATATATTTTTTATAGATTCTTTCAAATTATTCATTTGTGGTGTCACCCTTCTTTTATATATTAATATATACTATCAAACACACGATAGCTTAATTGAAGCTTAATCAGAAAAAAGATTTTTTTCACATTATCCTTAGAAATACTACCGGGGTTATTGATCGCATCAATATGTCGCTTCTCTATACCTACTCCACCTTTATTGTTGCCAAGATTCACCGGATTTGGTTTCAATCTTTAGATTTAACATGATCTTCTTTTGTAGACGAGATACCGGCTCATTGTAACAACCCATTGTCTTCGTCGCCTCCTCTGAGTCTGCAGGCCTCTGTCGTCATTAAAGAAAACATCGACTGTATCTCAACTGATAACTTGGTGAGTCTCTCTCTCTCTCTCTCTCTCTCTCTCTCTCTCAGAGAAACTTTTAAGTTCAGTTCATAACCCACTTAAAAATTTATTTTACCTAAATATCTTCCAACATTTCATGCTGTAGTCCTATTATACCTATAGTATTTTTCAACATATTCGTATAACATCAACTTTCTTTATCTAAGATAACAATTTTTTCATCATTATCATAATTCAAAGTATACTTATTGAGAGGAATCGTTATTTGTAGGCTTTGGATATTTCTGATTATGCCCCAGAAAGCTCTACAACAACTCCAAGAAATTTGACACCCAAAGTGGATATAACGAACAAGAAGGCTGCAGCCAAATTGTTCGCTTCCTACGATAAACATTTGTCGTTTCCATTCGACGCTCATAACCTTCCTAGTGGAATGCATCCTGTCGGAGGCTTGAAATCGGGTGTTTTGGAATTTAACCCCTCTGAAAAAGAAGATAATGGTGACGAAAATTTCGTGCTTCAATCCCCTCCTTTACCTTCCGAATACCGTAAACTGAGATACAGCCAGACGACATCTGTCTTTGATACGAAAAGTGGCCGACAGGCAGAAGATTCCTCAAATCATGTGACACGATCAAAATCTCTTTCGCCAGCAATTTTGCAGGAAAGACATCAATACCCGAGAATAGTAATAATCAATGAAAACGTCCAAGGCTCGGGTGGATTTCATGAACAAGATCATGGTTTAGCAGTATCCGACCAAGAAAAACAGAGACGGTCATCTTTCACTGAAATGAAAGCCGAAGATAAGCGAAGAATTTTCTCAAACAGTAAAACTTCCTTTCAAGATCTAGAGAGAAGTGTTGTACCGAGCAAAAATGTCCGGCGGTCAAATAGTAACCGAGAGGTGTTGATTTTGTCGCAAAGCGACAACAACTACAGTTCTGATGCATTTGTAAACTCATTAGATATTGATATCGTGCACTCTCAACCAACTACGGGCTTATCTAGAATGGAAAGAAAGTTATCTTTGTCTGATACTAAAGTTTGTGGAAGAGCATATCAATCCAATGACCATCCCAGCAATTTAAAGACATCTGCTTCTGTCAACGAAAATAGGAGAAACAAATCAATATGCAGTCGAAAGTATCACATTCGAATTGTTAAAAGGAGTAACCGATCACGACAAAATGGACGTTCGCGTTCACGAGACACGTCATGTGAGTGTTCTTGTGCATCAAGAGAAGAATTAAATACCAGCATATCGGGGAAAAAGAGACATAAGAAAAGGTCAAAGAAAAGGGTGGAAGTTACAGATTCCAGTAGCGATAGAGAGGATTTCTATCAGCACCCATTTAGAAAGTCTAAAAGAAATGATTTACCTTTCCCATCTCCAAACCTTGGTTCGACAGTTGGACAAACTCAAGCCAGCGTAGGAAAAGACAACGAAGCTTTATCGTATATGCAATCCTCATTCCAATCTCATTTGAGGAAACCTGACGATTTTCTTGATATCAAACAAACTGAAATTTTACGTCAGAATAATAAAAACTTTAGTCTTTCAAGTTCAAACCCTAGTGAAAATGACGATCCTTTCATCATAGGAAGGCACTCCATTCATCCTACAGACACAGATACGGGATTTTCTTCGTCATCAAAAAGTTTATATACGTCTCCCTGGAGGGATGGCGGAATAGTGTCTAGAAACACGGGATCCGAACATGTTCGAACACGATCCATAGACATCAACTTTACCAAAGAAAGGTTAAGGTCAACGAATTCAGTTAATGGTAGTAGAGTCAAGGATTCTGCTTATGAATCAAAACAGTCGTCGCTAGACACCATGTCCTTTGAACGAACCAGTGAAAAACGATACGAAAACTGGATCAATAGGTGAGTTTTTAAAAGTTTGAATTTCAAGAGAAGAAAAGATATTGAAATTTAATGATACCAATACTATTTTTAATTGGACTTTACATTAGAGGGAGAACAAAGAAATAGAAATTTCATAATACCAGAATAACTTTTAATTGGATTTCACTTAACATTAAAGGGAGAACAAATACCTTTTTTCCTCAAACCACAAAATTTGGCCTCATGAAAGTACGTGATTTTACAGTAGCAAACAAACTATTTTTCAGGTACGAAGATCGAAAAATTACAAAGCAGCTTGAACAAGTGTCTTTTAAACTATCATTGCTACGAAACAAGAGAAATTACTCAAGGGATCAGTCCAAAGACAGTGCATTCGTCACCGTGTCTGATGAGGACCCCTGCATCTGGGACTCCGATAGCTCAGGAAGGTAAGTCCATTACAGTTTCTTTTCCCAACTGTTTAAAGACAAACTATTCAGAAGGCATACTAACTTTTTCAAAGGCACCTTAAATAGTCTTTTTCATTCTCGGTATTTTATCAAAAGTATGTTTGAATACACTGAAATTTGATTTATTTATTAAATTTGCAGGAGATCGAGTTATCCGGGCATTATCAACAAAGCCTTTACCTTGGAACAAGTGTCCGAGGAGGGAGATGTCGCAAATACACCTGACCAGACGGCAGCTGCAGAGCATCTTAACACTAAATGCGCCATTATCAGTACAGCTCGCCAAAACCCTGTAACCTCGACGATAGAGGAAGATATTGAAATGGTGGAATTCATTGTGTGATATCTGTGATTTATTATTTAAAAAAAAATAAACAGTTAACACAAACATAAATTAAATAAATCATCATGTACATGTAATAGATACATATACGTATATTTTTCATACAATGTTGGTTTTCATCCACATTATATTTATAGTATAAAGAAATAAAACAGTAAAAGAACAGTCATTTTATTTGCTATGAACATGAATTGAAGGTATCTCTGTCTATCAGTTCGATTTTCACTCTGTTCTCGACCTCTTGATCAGAATTGCATATTTCTTACTCGGGTACATGTATTGCTCAACGGACTAGAGAAAGGTATGTAATTTAAGCAAAGATGTCAACTTATAAGTTTCACACTTTTCACAAGTTTTCCTCTTCACCTCCCGATCAAATGGATTGAAATTGTAAGATGGAGGGTCGACCTCTTTCAAAGAAAGATGAATAAAATATAGTCAAAGATCGTTGATCCTTTTTTTTTTTTTGAAAAGCATCAATTTATTTAATTCGTGGCCCTTAAGGTCATACGCAACGTAGTTTGAACTTTATTGGGTTCTTCCCTGGAGTTAAAGAGATCCACTAAAAGAAGGACCTGTGTGCAATATTTTCAATGTCTATATATGGATTTGCACACCTCTTCTACAACAATTTTTGATGAAAAAAAATCTGGAGTTTATGATTTGTAATTTTTGTACATTTTTCTTTGAATAATACAAGATTTTTCAAATTTGATATCTTTTCAAACCCCCTGGTAAGGCAAGCTGACTTTTTGTCTAAGAACATGTAATGGTATTTAAAGTTTACATTTAGAATATCTTGAAAAATTATCAGTAGGTAAGGTACATTCCGTATGTCCTTAAGGATAGGGTAGAGCCACAAAAGGGGATCAGGTTTTTGAGGAGATTATAAAGGGAGAATTTATTTAGTCAACCTGTCAGAAAATAATCGACATATAGAGAAGTTGACATCATTTCCTGACAAGTTAACATACATTTAATACATATATTGACATCAGAAAAACTCAACTGTCTGTCACGAACTTGACATGTTGATTTTTAAATACATATAAAATATATCAAGATAACAAACAGTATTCAAGTGTAAAGTCCATTCAAACTATTCAAACAATACAAAACAGGAGCAAAGCAAACACGGACCTTTAAAACATCAGAGGTGGGATCAGGTGCCATGGAGGAGTGAGCATCCCCTGCTGACCGGTCACACCCGCCGTTTGCTCCTTGTCATGATCAGGAAAAAACGGAAATTCCGACGACAATTCCGTGTGTAAATGATGGCTTAACAGTATGGAAAAAAAATCAGTTGGAATTTGACTTAATGATAAATTGTATTTGTTGGCAAGGTCATTGTTTCGACCATTGAGCTTACAAAATGGTGACTTTAAACAAGAATTTTGATATTCTTGTTTCTTCAACGTGTTTGTCAGTAACGTACCTCGTTTTAGAAATTGTTCAAACGTAGAGCATGCTCTTGTGCATCGAATCAACGGAGAGACATAATAGTTAAACTATGTATGCAGGTGAGGGCATAATGCTGCATAAGTAAGGGAAGCTCACGATTGGAAAGTTACAGTCATCATTTTTATCTTGAACCTTTGTTGTTAGGTCCCCATTAACGTCTTTTTCTGGTAAAATGTCAAAAAAATGGAAACTAAATATGTCACTCTGTAGTAATTTTTATTTTAAGATAACTGGGATATATAATATAGAGTCGACATATGAATTGAAGTAACTATTGTAATAAATAATACGTCGTCAATATACTTAATATTCAAAAGTAGAATCAAAGGCCACGACAAGTGTTTTCTTCTCATGCTGAAGTTATTGAATAAATTATGCTTCATATGAATACAAAAAAAAACAGGTCTACTAACAACGGAGCGCAATTGTTACCCATATGAATTTCAATAGATTGTTGATACACCTGATCTCCTAATTCTACATAAATGACAGAAACTTGGGCATATTTTTAATATGAACTTTAGAGTACTTGTGTGTACAACCAGAATTGTTTTATAAAATGAATTTGAAAATGGCCAATGACAAATTATTAGAGAATTTTTACTGAAAAGTAGCTGTCAATGATGCCAGTGAGCCTGAACTTTTATTTGTCGTGGGAAACAAGTCGTAAATCTTCATGTTATTGACTTTGGTAAAATTTTGTGATTTCAAAGTTCCTTGTGATTCATAAGTATCCACATCTGATTTATTCCACTTTTCGAATATATCAGTTGCACAGTTCCCCTAAATTTTCTACTCCAGTTTTGTTAATATTTTATTGAGGAGTGAAGAAATACGCTCAGAAGAATATTTACTGTAACCCGCTTTGCATCTTTGTAAGGAACTGAAGTGACAAGTTTTAAAAGAAGTAGATCTCATAATATGGATTATCGAAAGTAGACACATTTACTGTAAGTGATGGCAGCTTTAAATATGTTACCATATATATTCAATTTGGTAATTAAAAACAACATTCAGAACCCATGGAAACATAAGACTTTTTATCTCTGTTCTGGAAAAGAAACATCATTATAAACTCTGACCGTGTTTCAAAAGATTGTATATTTCTTCTGCGTTTCTTATTATACAAACTGTTCTCAACATCATATTCAATTACTCACGGTTAAATTGAAGAGCCGATGTATATTTATCCTGAGAGGTATCGATCCAGAGATCTATAAACGAAAGGTCTCATCAAAAGACACTGGATTCCGGATCGAGCTTAGTCTATTATTATATTTCCAAAGCCGTAAGTCAAAGATAAATGACGTCTGCAATCCGTTTCTTCGCAATTAGTGGAGAAAAGAAAATAAGAACGGAAGGTTAATAGTTTGTTTGGACTTGGGAATAATTTTGTTTGTAGCTATTCTCATTTTCCCAAAACAATTTCAGCTCTAAATGTGTATTTATGAAAATTTAAAAAAAAAAAAAAGAAAAACTGCCATGTATCTTTTTATTCTTTTTTACCTTGAATTCCATGGAATAAGTTGCGTCAAGCGCATGGAATTTTTCGTATTGTTTGAAACTACGGAGGCTTCTGCAATGTTTCATTTCAGAAGCATATCATCAAACTTAAAATAAAATACTTCGATGGATCATTGCTTATCTATTATATGATTATATGATGAATGATAATTAATAATTATTATTAATTATGAAAGCTATATTTTCAAAAACTGATGTCGTATAATGAAAGTTAATTACGTGTATTTTATTTCTAAAAAATTACACTTTCAAATTTCCAAACAGGTTTTTAAATTTAAATTTTTGGATTTTTACCATAACTATTCAAAATTCAAATTTCCAAAAACTATTTTAGTATTTTAAAATTTTGAGTTTTAAATCTATCGTTTGTTCAGAAAGTTTACACTTAACAATCTTAAGTTTAGTATCATATTCTGTCTTTTTATATTTTAGAATTTGCTTCAAACTTCTATATGAATTTTAAGTTTCAAAACGTTTTAGATTTTTAAAAATATAGAACTTTGATTTAAACTCTCAAAATTTAGGTAATTTACATTTCAAATTAGATTTTACTTCCAATATCCAAAATATCAAATTCCAAATCCGGTTTAAATTTTGAAACTATGTCAAAAGCGCTTTAGTTCAAACAAAAGAGATTTTTAGATATTTGGAATTATTGAATTGCTACAGACATAGTTTCAAAATTCAAATCGGATTTGGAAATCTGATATTTTGAATATTTGAAGTAAAATTCTTAAATCTCAAAGTATTTTGGTTATTTGAAATTTAAATGATACCTTAAAAATTCTAAAATTCAAATAATTTTAAACGATTTGAAAGTTGAAATTTAGAAGTTTGAAATAAATTCTAAAATTTCTAAATTCGGAAAATGGTACTTACTGGTAACTTTGGATTGTTACGTGTAAACTTTCTGAAAAAATTCTAAAGTTTCAAATAAAAAAATAGTTTTGGAAATTTGAATTTTGAATATTTAAGGTAAAAATCTTTAAAAATTTAAAACCTGTTTGAAATTTTGAAAATTTAGATTTTTGAACTTATCTATCAAATTTCAATGTGCCAAATCAGTTTGAATTTTTGTAATTTAGAAAGAACTAATACGAATATATATCAAAATTCTACAACTCTAAATCATTTTAAAAACTTGGGTGTGTTACACGGACCTGCAGCAACTGTACTCAAAACCAACTGAGGACGTAAGGCTACATAATAAATACTTCTGACATGTATTTGTTATACCATACTAAAACCTTTCATTTGGCTATTCTTGGATGAAAAGAAGGAGATACATGTATGTACGGAAGCCCATTAGTGCCAACCTGTATAGATAAAGGAAAAGCAATATATAAAAGCAAACCTCGATATATAAAGGAAATGTGATATATATAAGAAAATTTGGATATATATAAAGGAAATGCAATATATATATAAACAAAACATCGATATATATAAAGGAAATGCGATATATATAAACAAAATGTCGATATATATAAAGAGAAATGTGATATATATAAAGAGAAATGCGAAATATATAAACAAAACTTCGATATATATAAAGAGAAAACTTTCCACTGCCTGACCTTTAACATGTGTAATGACCTTCATAACAACAGAGACTTCGCCAACATACGATAATCAGCTCCCGATCTAATGTTTTGATTGCGATCAGTTGGTGTGGCAGTTTCAGGATGGTATTCAGTGTGTTGTTTTCTTTATTTGTGTTTCTTGATAATTATGATGATTAAAACTAAAGCTAAAAACTGCTGTTCTTCTTCATGTGAAGATTAGCGACATCAATCAACCAAACTTGTAAGAGATTTATTAGGACCCGACACTCCAAACCACACTTTAAAGTAGATATGTTTTTTGCATATAGCAGATTAATATCTGATTTGAATTATGCAAGTAGTTGTAGAGTGTTTCGGCTATTAAGGAGCCTCATCAGGGGTCACGGACATAAATCATGGTGTTTGTTTTAGGTGCGACCGGATTATCTCGTCACCTATATTCTTGTGTTTGCTGTAAGCAATGATTGGTTGAGAATGAAATAAAGTTTTGCATTCTGGATGTCTAAGAATGGTGTTCCAATATTTTAGAATTC